GGGGGGAAGGGGGGGGGGGGGGGGGGGGGGCAGGGAAGGGCACCCACGTGCAAATAAAGATTCTTCTCGAACAGCCCGAGGTCTGCTTTCTTGTGCGCCTTTGCAATTTTCAGGTATGTGCACGAGTGTGGAAAAAGCTCCAACAGAGAGTCTCCTTCTATCCCACAAAGTGCAAATTGCCGACCCTCAGTTTGGTCAGGCAAGCTCCAACAGAGAGTCTCCTTCTATCCCCCAAACTGCAAATCGCTGGCCCTCAGTTTGGTCCGGCAATTGCTGAGCGGTCGGGTTAGAACGGATAAAAGGAAGTACTTCTTCACCCAAAGAGTGATGAACACACGGAATTCACTGCCACAGGAGGTGGTGGCGGCTACAAGCATGGACGGCTTCAAAAGGGAATTAGATAAGCATATGGAGCAGAGATCCATCAGTGGCTATTAGCCACAAGGTATAGATAGGGACTCTGGGGCAAGTGATGCTCTGTCTTCTTGGTGCTTGGGGGGGTCAACAGTGGGAGGGCTTCTAATGTCCTGGCCCCACTGCTGGACCTCCTGATGGCCACTGTGTGACAGAGTGTTGGACTGGATGGGCCTTTGGCCTGATCCAACATTGGCTTCTCTTATGTTCTTATTGAGCCCTTCAACTTCTACTTGGCTTTGCTATTCGGAACTGGCTCTCCCGCTCTGCCGTTAGCTTTTGCAATGAGAAACGACGAAGGCTGAGTTCCGTCCAGACAAAACTTTATGAAAGCGCTGATTATGGGCTGTGGCTCAGTCACAGACCGCCAGCTTTGCGTGCAGAAGGTCCAGGGCTGACTCTCCAGTTATAAAAGGTTCAGACCTCTGCATTAAACCCTGGAGAACTGCTGCCTGTCAGAGTGGATGATACTGAGCGGTACAGACTAAGGGTTTCACTCAGTAGAAGAAGAAGAGATTGGATTTATACCCCGCCCTTCACTTTGAGTCTCAGAGCAGCTTACAAACTCCTTCCCCTTCCCCTCCCCTCCCCACAACAGACACCCCGTGAGGTAGGTGGGGCTGAGAGAGCTCTTTCCAGCACTGCCCTTTCAAGGACAGCTCTTGTGAGAACTATGGCTTGCCCAAGGTCATCCAGCAGGTGCAAGTGGAGGAGGGGAATCAACCCCGGTTCTCCCAGATTAGAGTCCGTGCACTTAACCACTACACCAAACTTGTTTCATGTGTTCTGCTGGTGCCAGCAGGAGTTTTTCCTAGAGTTAGAGGGAGGAGGAGAAAACCTGGAAAGGTGGGGAAAAAGCTGGACTGTTTCCAGTACCCTTCTATCAATATGCCAAATGGGGATTAGGTGTGTAGCTCTAGCAGAAGAGCCTCTCGTGTCAAGAGAGTGTGCCCTGTGCTAGAGGAAGGGGGATGCCATTAGAGGAACAGATCCGTGGTATCGAATCCAATGTCTCCAAGGTGAGGTACAAGAAAGATACTGAAACAATCACACCTTACACAATCAGTGAACATCTGCAGTAAAAAGCTCAATCTCTCGTTTAAATTCACTGCTGTCAAGTTGCAAACAATGTTTGGGTTTTCAAGGCAAGAGGCAAAAGGAGGGGGGGTTTTGCACTGACTTCCTCTGTGTAGCAACCCTGGTCTTGCTTGCTGGTCTCCCATCCAAGTACTAACCAGGTCTGGCCCTGCTTAGCTTCCCAGCACCAGATGAACTCAGGCTAACCTGAATTATTCAGGCTGCAAGGCTATTATTACCTAATCCGTATACCTACAGCCTGAGCAAACACCAGATTTTGCAGGGCTGCTCTTGTTTGAGGATGAAGCCCTACAGAAGCTAGGCACATTATTGGTGCTCCCGTCTAGCGTGAGTGCAGATCACTCTAGCAAGAAGCCCCTGGTTAACTGTGCATGCAGACTCCATCCTGCTGGCTCTGCACAAAACTCTCTCTTTCAGGTTGTTCCCTCGTCCCAGAAGGCAAGGCTAGCTGACGTGGCAGCGGGGTGCAAGAAGGCACTGAGAAGCCGGAGCAGGTGGGAAGCTGTTATTTATAAGGCTGGAATGCAGCTACTCCTATCGATGCAACGAACATGAAATTAAGCAAACTCCGGAGGACAGCGGAAGACAGGAGGGCCTGGTGTGATCTGGTCCATGGGGTTGTGAAGAGTCAGACTCGACTGTGCGACTGAACAACAACAACAGCAGCTACTCCTGGGGGGCTTTGAGAAGATCAGCTCAAATGCGCAGCCGCCCCCGACGAATCCTCATTCACTCTGCTTGGACTGAGTCTGAACTATTTTTAGATTAACTGTACATCAGTCTTTGCCGGAAGAGATGCTCTGCTAACCCTTCACCCAGGAAGATGTGTTCTAGCCATCCAGAGCTCTGTTAAGGGTAACAAATGCCCTAGTGCTTGGCTTTAGGGAGCACGGGGCAAAAGTGTGAGCACATTAGACAAAAGAAAATCTGAGAAGTGTGGCACTGGAGCAATTAACTACTGTGAGGAAATAAGATCTTCTTTTTAAAAGTTTGCATTTCTTAAAAGTGGGTTTGCTGTTTAAAGCCTGTAAGTGTTGCCAGCATGGGAAAGGGAGAAACCTGTTTGGGGTGGTGGTTTTAAGGTGCTGCTACGGGACTCGAATCACGCTCTTCTTTGTTGTTGTTCAGTCGCACAGTCGAGTCTTCCGGTCTTCCGTCGTCCTCCAGAGTTTGCTCAATTTCATGTCCGTTGCATCGGTAACACTGCCTAACCATCTCATCCTTTGCCGTTGTCAGACACCTGCAGCAATCTGTTCCCAACAGCTTTCATTCAAAGAAGTAAAGTTTATTGAGACTTTGAGAGTATGCAGATATCGTAACCAATTTCGTGTTAGAACTGAAGAAAAGCGTGCGCAGCAAGCAGTTATACATTATTCAAGCAGGCCCCCTGATGGCCCAGGGCCAATCAGGACTCAGGTAGAAGACGGACAAAGCAACGGGCTATTCTTCCCAGGAGAAATACTACACCAGGAGCTGAAGGTCAAGCAGAGATAATAGAAACATAGGAGACACAGCAGAATTGAAACTTAACATTCCAGAGTCACCCCCACTCCCATGGCAGGCAAGGCTTGAGAGAGGCCTAGCTGACAGCCGTCCCCTTCTTCTTTTCCCTTCAGTCTTTCCCAGCATCAGGGTCTTCTCCAGTGAGTGCTCCCTTCTCATCTTGCTCTTCTACTGCAGATCAACTTACCTACCTATCTAAAACTGGGTGACCTCACAACAACCCCTGCATACTACTCTCCGCCTGAAAGCTGGAGCCTGGGGGCAGATCCCTGGCTGCCCCCCCCCCCGGTCATTTTGGTCCTTGCTACGCTTTATTTGATATAAGCATCTCATGCCTTGAAAACCCTACCAGGGGTCGTCAAAACTCAGTTGCGACCTGATGGCCAATCTTTACAACAGTCTTGTTGGGTAGGCCAGGATTATCCTTGTAGTGCAATTTAGAAGACTGAGGATGAGAGAGGTTTACCTAAGGCCACTTCTGAAACAGGGAGGCTCCAAGCCTCTTACGGTTCCCCTAAACTTCTAAAATTCAGGAGCGGGGGGTGGGGGTGGCAGTATCTTGCTTAATCTCGCCCGGTTCTTCACGGGTTAACACCTATCACGCTCTGAAGCCTACTTCCCCCCTCCCCCCATCAACGCCCACAGGCCTTATGGGGGTTGTAGTTCTGAGCGCCGCCTACCAACCTCAAAATGGGCTGCCACCGCTCTAGCTTCTGCACTGTCTATGGTGAAACACCTCTATACTTTACATCGGGAAGTCGCCACAGAAGCCAGTTCCGCCTGAGAACGGAAGTAAAGGTTACGTCACCGCAGCCTTTCCCTCGTCCTTCCAAGGCGGAGCCGCCGCGATGCACGCTGGGAGCCGTAGTTCCGAGTGGGCGGGAAAAGCCAGACGCGCCCCTGTCTTCCCGTGGTGCCTTGCGCGGCTGAGGAGGCGAAGGCGGCTGACGGGAGGGCCCATGGCGGAGACGGAGACGCCGAGCTCGTCGCTAGTGGCGGCCGTGCTGGAGGCCGTGCAGCGCTCCTCGGGTCGCCTGGAGAAGGAGGGCCTCGGCGGGCGTATCTCCCGCCTCTCCGACCGAGTGGAGGAGCTCAAGGTGCTCGGGGGCGGGGCCAACGACCCTAACGGGGCGGGGCTTAATTGTGCCACGCCCCCTCCACCCCTTCTGTCTACTCCCGTCCTTCAGCCCTGCCCCTTATTCTGAAAGGAGACGTGTTTCTGAGCATGCGCAGACCGCTGTCCTGGGGAGTGGGGCTGACTGCATGGTTGCCAACTCCACTTTAGAGAATCCCTGGGAATTTGGAGGTAGAACCTGGGGAGGGCGCAGTTTGAGGGAGGGAGGGAGCTCAGCGGGAATGCCACAGAGTCCTCCTGACAAAGCAGTCGTTTTCTGCAGGACAACTGATCTCTGTGGGCCGGAAACCAATTGCAACCCCAGTAGATTTCCTGGCTGCACCTGGAGGTTGGCAACCTGAACTGTGGGGTTTCATAGCCAGAGATGTTTAGGGCTGAGCTCCGGCGTGTGATATTTAATGGTGCTTCTGAGCATGTGCAGAGCCCCTGCACGCTCTCCCCAAACTGGCTATAGAGATGGAGCTTGTGTGAGGAAGGACCATTTGAGATGGTGAAGCTGATCCTTCTCAGCCCTGGCCCTGACATGGGCCTCCTCTCCACTTTTCTCTGAGGCATGCGGCAGGAGAGGGCGGTCTGGGGTGTCCCCACGGGTCCTTCCTGTGGACCTGGGCTGGTGCTTGGAGGCTGGCTGTTAGCCACGTCCTTTGGAGGCAGCTTTGGTGGGATTCCAGATGAGCTCGTGGTAATTCTCCTTCCCGTCGTTCCAGGGCGAGGTTTGCCGCATGATCAACGAGCGATATGTGGAGTTCCTTCCCAGCATGCAGAATGCCAAAGAGTTGGAGTCTGAAGCAGCGAAGCTGTCCAGCAGCATCGATCAGTTGAAGTCTATGATCGAGACAGAGGTGATGCCGCCTTTGTAGACACAAAAGGACTAGGACGCTTGAGACTGGTTAACGAAATAGCCCTCAACCAAATAGCCCTAGTAAAATAATGTGACGGCCTTTGGAAATAGCGAGATTTCCAAAAACGGGGTTTGTCTTCTTGGCTTCCGCACATCACAGCATGTGACTGTTGTTGTTTTGATTCTTTGTTTCTTTGCCAACAAAAGGTTTCTGCTTTGCGTTTTAAAATACTAGTGTCCAGTTCTTCATTATTTGCTATAGCACTAGAAAAGAGCAAGAGCACACTCCTCGCTTCTGCAGTGACTCCCGAAAGCTCCTCCCCGACCACAAATTTTGCGAGTCTTTCAGGTGCTCCTGGACTCTTGCTCTTTCCTGCTGCTACAGAAAGACTAACATGGCCACCCATATGGATCTATCTAAAGAAGTGAGCAGTGACTCCCGAAAGCTCCTCCCCGGCCACAAATGTTGTGAGTCTTTCAGGTGCTCCTGGACTCTTGCTCTTTTCTGCTGCTACAGATGGGCTAACACAGCCACCCATCTTGCATTATTGGCTATGTTCACATATGCCACAAAGTGTTTTGATAACATTGATATTAAATAACTGAAATGACATTGAACTTAACAGAAAACGAAGGCTCTTTGTGAATAGTGGCAAGTGGTGGTTGGAAGTGGCTCTGACCTGCGTGGCCCCAGCTAGATCTTGTTAGATCTCAGAAGCTAAGCAGGGTCGGCCTTGGTCAGTATTTGGATGGAAGATTTCTGAGGAAGTCCAGGGTCGCTACACAGAGGCAGGTCATGGCACGCCACCTCTGAACGTCTCTTGCCTTGACTATCCTGTGGGTTGGCAGAAGTTAGCTGAGGCTCGAGGGCACTTTCCTCCACCACTGCCACCACCCACCAGAAGTGGGTGGGCAGCTTTCTGTGGCCTCCCGCTCCCCCCAGAAGGAGTGTGAGTTGCGTATTGAAAGCGTTCCCTTGCCGTGATGATTCACGTTTCGATTTGCGACTCCCTCCCCAGGTGCAGCAGGACCTGACTGTGGCCATTGCGGAATTTACAGAGCTGAAGCAGCAGCTGGAGAGAGACACCCTCATCCTGAGTGTGCTGAAACAGCTGCAGGAGGTGAAAGAGAGGGGCGCTGCTGGCCTCTTCCCCTTCCTCCCTTTCCTTCGTTCTTTCAGCAGGCTTTTAGATAGATCCCCTCTTGCGCCTGTCCCTAATACTCATTCCTTTTCCTTCCAAAAGTTTGATTCTGCCCTACAGCAGTCCAGCGCCATGTTGACGGAGAAGAAGTACGTCCCTGCGGCACACCACTTGAAAAAGGTGGGTCCAGGTTCCTTGGACCGTGCGTGCTCGTGTTTCCCTTGTGGGAACGGGCCGCTCTCGGAATGGGTTTGCTTGACATCCCATGTGAGTCTGCGTACAGTTGGAAGGAGCCATTCAGTCCAGCCCATCCTCATTGCAAGGAATCCAACTTCGGAGCGTTCCTGACCAATGCTCCCTCTGAGCTGTGGAGTCTTGTGAGCAAAAATTCTGCTTTCTGAGCGACTGGCATCAAAGTTGTGAGCCAGTGATTTGGCCACATCAGTTTGCTCTGGAGCCCTCCTTCCTGAGCGAAGACAAAAATGTGTGAGCTGGAGGCTAAAAAACTGTGAGCTAGCTCACACTAACTCAGCTTAGAGGGAACATTGTTCCTGACTGATGTGCTGTAGCGGTGAGAGCCTCGGGGTAGGATCTGGGAGACCCAAGATTCAGTCTCTGCTCTGCTGGGGAAGCTCACTGGGTGGCCTCGGGCCAGTCACAAACGCTTATGTTTATTTATTTATTAAACCATGACTAGCCCGCGTTTCCCGTCGGTTCAAGGCAGCTTCCAATAGTAGTTGAAACATCCCCAGCTAAACCCAAAGATGAAACAGCAAGCCCCAGATCCTTCCCTCCCTTAAAAGATGCCTGCCAATCAAACCTCTCGTAAGCCGCCCTGAGCTCGCTTTGCAGGGAGGGCGGGGTAAAAATCCCAATAAATAAATAAATAAAATAAAATAAACTCCCTCGAAAGATCTGACAAACAGGCAGGCCTTGCAGCGCCTCCTGAAGACCTCCGAGGGGAGGGGGCCCCTCTCATCTCTCCTGGGAGCCCCTTCCACAGAGCCGGAGGCAGGAGGGGAAAGGCCCAGGGGGCTCCGGTCGATGCCAGACAGGCCGCCCTAAGTGGTGGGAGAGCCAACGGGAGGCTGCCTGATGTCCGTAGTTGGTGCACAGGGACAGATGGAAGGAGATGGTCCTTCAGATAGCCTAGGCTACCTTGCAGGATTGTTTTGAGGATCCAACAGAGGCTGTTTCGGATCCCCATCGGGGAGCAAGGGGGTTGTCTGGGGTCTACCGGAAGAGCTCCAGTGAGGGGGAGCCCAGCACCCCTCTCAGTCACTGGGGTCTCTCTTCCTTTCAGGCCCAGAGGTGTCTGAAGCTGATGGAGTCCCGTCGGGGCTTTGAGCTGAAGATTCTGAGGGCGTTCCACATTGAACTCGTCACGCAAACCGAGAACCTCCTCGGCGTTTTGGGAGAGGAGTGGCAGCGGCTGGCTGTGTGGCGGCTTCCTCAGTCAAAAGGTTTGGGGGCTTTTTGCTGCTTGTGTGTCTCCGTGTCTAGCTTCAGGGGGAGCTTTCATTCCCCTACTGGGAGCAGTAGTCTTGCAAATGCTGCCTTTCCGTACCATCGTTTCGGGACGCTTATCTTTGCAGGATCAAGGCCTTAATGCACCAATAGCTGTGGAGTCCTTGTTTTTGCTTATTTGTTGAGCGAACAAGCCTGGCAAGTGAGTGGCACTCACATTTTGTGGTTGTCCCACCAGACAGCACATCACCGTGGGAAAGGAGGACGTGCCAAGTGTGTGGGGGGGGGGGAAGCCACTCAGGAAATGCAACTTCTAAGGTTTATTCGCAGAGACGTTAGATTTTTATGCCGTAGGTTATCGTGGCCAGAATTGCTGGGCTCAGATCTGGGTTGAAATCCCTGTGGTTTCATTGCCTCGGACAAATTACCCAGCTTCATTTTTTGTGTGTGTCTGTACAGTGGTGGGATTGGTGGCATATCTCGCTGGACTGTTGAAAGGATAAAATGAAAAACATCCTTTTAGAAATAGGCTTAACGGAACAAGTAACTGAAGACAAGCTGGGCACAATAACAACTTTGTTAGCCATTGCGAGGTTAGAGATTGCGAAGAAATGGAAACGGAAGAAAGGGCCATCAATACAAAACTGGTATGACTCTTATCTGGAACCACTTTATGCTGGTTAAAAGAGATTATTCTACAGGCATCCAGAATTGTGACGTTCATTGTAAAAAAATTTCAAGCAATTTGGTCTCCTATTGTTAAATTTTTACAAGATAAGGAAATTGTTTCATCTAATACATTACAAGGAGTTATTGAATGTTTTGACTTAAGAAAGTATGTAGTATGGATACATTGTGGATCTTTTCTCTGTATGTTGTACTTGACTATGGAGAGAAGAAGTTTATATTTATGATGATTTACGGTTGAGTTTTGTAGGATACGGTTGTACACTTATGGTGGAAATTTTAATAATAACAAAGAAAGGGTAAAATGAGAGATTTTTAAATTGTTTTGCAGATTCTAAAAGCATAGTAGACACGAGAACTAACTGACAATGGCAGCCTTTCCCCCCGGGAGCTTTGAATCAAGTAGCACCTAAGAGACCAACAAGAGGAGCTTTCACTCTCAGAAGCTTCTGTCCTGGAATCCTTGTTAGTCTCTACGGTGCTACTGGATTCGAATCTTGCTCTTCCACTGCAGACAAACGTGACTCCCCTGAAACATTTTTCCTGGGGTAGCTGTGCACCTGTCGTCAGGATTTTTCCAAGACTGTAGGGGCCGGCAATGCAAAGGGGAGGCTGTGGCTCAGTGTTTGAGCGTCAGTTTTGCATGTGGAAGATCCCAGGTTCAATTCCTTCTGTCTTCGGTTGCAGATAGCAGGTGATGGGAACTCCGGCAGTTCAGTATATCAAGCGGCTCTGCTGCTGTAGAGTGTGGCTTCGCTGGGATTGCGTTTGATGGCTTCCGTGTAGTGTTTCGTTGCCTGAGGATAGTCCCCTTTCTAGAAATACTCTTTGCCTTCTTGTCCTCCAAAGCCAGCTGAGGATCGATGTATTTGAGCCTCTCTTGCTCTTTCAAGATTTTCCCAGCCTGCTGACATTTTTTCAACATGCCAGGAGTGCGGCGTTCAGCCAGAGACTTGTTGTAAAACTGGATGGCTTCCTTGAACTTTTCCTCCTTGAAGGAAGAGCTGCCAATTTGGGTGTAAGGTGATGGGAAAGATCTCTGCGTGAGAGCTGCTGCCAGTCTAATTAGGAAACGCTGATGCTGAAAAACCAAGGGTCTGGCTTGGAGTAAGACACAGCTTTACGGGCTTGTTGTGTCGGTGTCAAGACTGGGTCTTCACCCCTGCTGTAAATTTTGGGAGCTGCTTCTTAGAACTGCCAGGAAATGATTTCTCATTTCCAGGCACCAAAACGAAATTTAGGAACCACTGTGGATTTCAAGGCATCTTGAGTGCTGAGGCTCTCTGAACGTCTGACGATGCCTGGGACAGCAAAAGCACTTGTGGACCTTCTGGTGTCATGATCAAGGTTTTCTCCCTTTCTCACAAGACAAGAACTCCTTGTGGGCACTCCATGAAATTGCTGAGCGGTCGGGTTAGAACGGATAAAAGGAAGTACTTCTTCACCCAAAGAGTGATTAGCACATGGAATTCACTGCCAC